GCTGGGGTGCTGATGTGGGGAGCAGCTTCCTGAGGTGGTCCTGGGCAGCAAGCCCGTGGAGGGCATCTCAGGCCTGTCCCCCAAGACCATTCTGTCTCCCCAGGCATGTGGGCCTGAAATGGAAGAGTTGGCCCCAGAGGCTTCTGCAATGCCCTCAGGACCTTTTCCCCCTTCTCTTGATAATTCCTTTCTTTTGTACTAGTCTTCTCAGCACCATTAGATTTTTCTTCTGAAAATGCTCTCTGCTTCTCAACCACATGGCCAGGCTGCAAATTTTCCAAATCTTTGCACTGTGCTTCCCTTTTAAATTCTGGCTTTATGTCATGCATTGCTGCCATAATTCAGTGTAGGCTGTTACAAGTAGCCATGCAGCTTCCTTAATGCTTTGCTGCTTAGAAATTTCTTCCACCAAATACTGTGGTTCACAATTCTCAAGTTCTGACTTCCACAAAGTCCTAGGGCATGGACAGAATGCAGCAACATTTCTTGCCAATTCAGAGCAAGGGTGATCTTTGCCCCAGTTTTCAATAAACTTCTTATTTCTATCAGAAACCTCCTTAGAATGGTCTTTACAGTCCATATTTCTATCAGCATTCTGCTCGCCACCACATAACCAGTCTCTAACACATTCCAAACTTTCCCTTGTCTTTTTGTCTTCTTCTGAGTCCTCCAAACACCTCCAACCCTTGCTTAACACTCAGTTCCAAAGCCACTTCCACATTTTCAAGTATCTGTTATAAGCAACACCCCACTTCCTGGTGCGCATTTTCTGTATTAGTCCATTTCTGTTGCTTATAACTAAAATACTTGAAACTGGGTGATTTATAAAGAAAACAAAATTTATTGCTTACTGTTTCTGAGGCTGGGAAGTCCAAAGTCTTTCTAGTGGTGGCGACAGTAACCCAGGGGTCTCACATTGCAAGATGGTAAAAGCAGAGAGAGCAGAGAGAGAGAAAGACAGACTCTCCTCTTCTTTTAAAGCCCTCAGAGCCATGCCCCTGACCACCATTTTTAATCCATTCACTACTGCACAGTCCTACAATCCAATTACCTCTTTAAATCTCCACCTTTCAATTACCATAATAGGATTTCCCACTTTCCTAACAGTCACAGTGGGTACCAAGTTTCTAATACATAAAACTTGGGGGACACAATTCAAGCTTCAAGGAGTTTGGGGGGACATAATTCAATCTACGACAAATTTAATCCATTATATCTACTAACTAAATCAGATGCATTGTCCTCAATACAATAAAGTCCCCTCCAGATTGACATGTCACAACGTACCCCTGAGTACACTGAGTGATAATTGTTATCCATGTGCATATACTTGACTAAAATTTTTTGAATTTTAAAAATTTTAAATATTTTAATCTCTCTCTCCCCCAGCTTTTTTGCCTCCTTTTAACTAGTTAATTGGTCTGACCAAAAACTGGGTAGCATTCTCTTACGTTCTGAATGGAAAGAACTGGGAAAACACTTTCCTTCTGGTTTCCACATCACAGCAGGATCCCTGTAGCCACATGGCTCAGAGTTGGATGGAAAACCTGGAGGGCAGAGCTGGGGAGACCCATCCTGTCCCTGAGTGACAGAAAAACATGGACTCTGAACTCTGACACCCCAGGGTTGGAATCTCCTGGGTTCCCCAACCTTAATAACTATTCATCCTCCCCCTTTCCTGGTGGCAGTTGAATAATTAACTGAGACACTGCTGGTCTCAGAGAGATTCAGAGGAATAAAGATCAGTGAATACATCTTATTGTTTAGTGACCTCCTAAAACTGATGTTACATTGCTCAGAAATCGTTACAATATATTTTATAGTAAACTTTTGTTAACTGGCTAATATGAACACCCTTTTTAAAATATAAATTGGCAACCTAAATCTTTTGCACTGTTAGTCCTTGGGAACAATGCCAAATACATCAGGTAGGTTCAAAAGAATCTAAAAACTCCACAACAACCAGCATCATCCAGTGAGCCCAAAACAGAATATCAAACACCTGCCAATATTCAACAAAGAAGACTTGGAATTCTCTAGCACTGGAGGACACATGGGGTGTGATATCTCCTGCTTTCAGAGTAAACGCTACGTGGAATCCTTCATGAGTGCCCCCACTGGGCTGATTCCTCAGTTGGGTCCATCTCTGTGACTAGAGTCAAAGTAAACTGAGTCACTGATTGCACGGTCCAGTCATTTTAGATGTGGTACAGAGATTTTAAAACTGACGTTTCAAGAACCAAGGGAGAGAAGAGAAAGTGCTGAAGGTGAATGTGCTATGCTTTGTTTTTATTTGGAATCAAGAGAAACATTTTTAATAAACACTTAAATCCTTCTCCATTAATGTGATTTAAATAATGAATTTTTAAAGACTGAATTGATTTGTTTACATACACTGAACTGCAGAAAAATGGCATTCCTTTTTTCGTTTACACCATCAAATCCAATAAAGCCAAACAAGATGGTTAACTAAAATGATTAATGAATGCAGCATTAGCTGATGGGTTTAAATTTAGAATGTGTGACTGATGTCAGGGTTGATTAGTTTTGTATCTAAAACTGATGCTATTAAAAGCTTTGAGCAATTTAGATGTAGTCATTGAGTAAAATTCCAACAGGGTGAAAATTCTATCAGGATTGATTCTGCTGTGGTAGATTTGCAAGTGCACAGATGTTGGGGGGAGGGTGCTTACTGATGGGACAGGAAAAAGAGACAGAGGCAGAGAGGCTGATCAGGTGGCATCAGTCACAGCAAAGATAAAGAAGCCTGGAT